TTGTAGGTGGAAGCTAATAAATGCAATAGAACTATATCTGTACTGTCTCGTGGAGTTCTTTAGGCTGAACCTGACACTCCTCTTTCAAAAGAAAATTCCAAAGCTGGTCACGGCTTGATTGCTCTTCACTAAGAGTTATAAGAACTGGGCATGCTAAATTCTGTCCTCCTTCAAAAGCTTTGGAATTTTCCAAAGCTGGTTCTCTTTCATCCAACCGAGTGAGAATTGGCAGAAGAAAAAGATGCAGGAAATGTCTTGCCATCCCCCTTCCCCTACTTTCTGGCAAGGCCAACCTTGCCCACATCTGTGCCCAGCTCCTCAGTGGGTTTCTCTTCTCCCTCTAGTCCACCTGTACAAATGTGGAGCCATGAGAGATAGTTGTGGTCTGTGTCTGAAGGCGGATCTGGACTACGAGTGCGGCTGGTGTGAAGACTTGAATCAGTGCACGCTGAAGCACCATTGTCCCATCCTGGAGAACCGTTGGCTGGAGCTTTTGGGAACCGGAGGCAAGTGCACCAATCCCAAGATTACGGAAGTAAGTTTCTTCACTTTCTCCTCCCTTGCGCCTAGATGTTCTTCAATGTTGCAAGGAGTCACCTTACACCAGTCATGGGTTAGTGGCTTCTGCAGAATGAAACAGGTACAGAAATCCCGTGCAATATTTAGAATAAAAGCAGAAATCCAATGCACAGTTTGATCTATTTATCTACATTTTTTACTGCACACTCAGAAGATTCTGCTGACTTTGTATAGCTCCATGTAGCTTTCATGGCGAGAATAAAGAAGTGGTTTGCCACTGCCTTCTCCCAAAATGATGTTGTTATTATTTTTTTACTTCCAAGTCTAATTTAGAACTGGTGGTCTCCTCCCCGGGGTCTGATCCTGCTTAGCTTTCTTTGAGATCAGCTAAGGTCAGCTAAATGGTGCTGCTAGGGAATACCTGACTTGATTAAAATATATCTGAAAGGGATCTTGTTATTGTAGTTCATCACCAACTAAATATGAACCAGAAATGTGATGAGCCTGCAAAAAAAAAGAGGTAATTTTAGGCTGCATCAGCAGAAATGTTGTTTCTAAACCATGGAAAGCAAGAATTCTGCTGTATCTTTCAGAGGTTATTCTATCCGGTGTAATGTGTCCAGTTCTGGGCATCACATTTAGGAAGGGTTCAGAGAAACTGGAACATTTGCAGAGAAGGCTAACAAGGATGAGGAAGAGATTAAATGCTACATATTTCAAGGAGAGGCCAAGAGAACTGGGTATTTTTAGTCTTGAGAAAATACAACTGAGGGACTATATGAGGGCACATTTCATATGCTTGAGGGAGTGTCCCATGGAAGATGATCCAGATCTCTTTGCAAGATGGGAGGTTCTGTCTGAATGTTCTAATGATAAGAGGGGTTCAGGAGAAGAATGATTGCCAAGAGAGTTGGTGAGTTCCTTTCTCAGGATCTCTTCAAGTGGAGGCTGGATAGCCATCTACCAGGAATGCTTTAATTTAGATTCCCACACTGAGGAAGGGGTGATGGTGGACTACATGGCCTCAGTGGCCCCTTCCAGTCCTCTGACCTTTCTGTATTGCTGGACTATGGAGTTCCAACACTGAACTACAGGACTGGTCTTTGTGTGAAGGTTTTCCTCCTTCTCAAATTCAACTTGATTCTCTGGTGGGGTTCAGAGTTTAGCTTTCTGTAACTACCTGTGATCTAGATCCCACTGGTGGGTCAAAGATATTAGGGTAGAGGAACGACAGTACCTTGGCTATATTGTTCAGGCACAGTGTTGACTTCTGTCTCTTCTCCCTCCACCTCTCTGACTCAGAAACATAATGCCTCTTTCCATTACTTAGGATGTGGGATGCTCCACCAAGGGAGGCAGTGAGATTGAACTTACAAGGAGCTTTGTTTTCATACCTGTCAAAGAGCTCATGATCAATGGTGTTCCTTAAGTCATACTGGCTCCTGTGTCACCTGGCAGCCCAACCAGCAGTGATGACAAAGATTGCCTTGGAATTAGGATTGTCTCCTGTGAGCCTCATGGCCAGGGGCGTCCCATAGATAGGGAGCCAAAACAATCAAGGTGGTGGCCACAAGCATGCAATCAAATCCCTATCTGGTTTTTTTTCTTTCTTTTTTTTTGTGCATGACAAAAAAAGGAACCTTTTTCACATCCTTGGGTACCCACCTTAGTTCTATATCTGCTACATGCCAAATTCCCTGCTAACAGTAAGGATCCTACCAGTTCATTTAGGTACATGGTGGCAGGTGTGTCACAAGTACAACCAAAATCCACTTTTACCCCAAGCATGTCCTTCTTTGCAAGCTAAGATCTCTAACCTAAAGACTACCTCGCAAGCCAGCACTCTTGTCTACATCCCACCAACTAGGAGATCCATGCAACCTAGTGGCCCATACTCAGGACGCTGGTAGTAGAAGACACTTCAAAGTCCTGTTTTTCCCTCTGAGTCCAGATCACAGCACAAGCCTACCCTGTTGGGCTATAAGTTCCTTTCCCTTTTGTTATCTCTCCTCTTGCATTTTTTTTAAGCTTGCTTTTCCTTCCTCCTTCTCTGTGCTACACAAAATGTTGCTCACCCTGAAAGGGAATAGCTTGGTGGGTACGTAAGTATGACTGAGAGCCTCAAGCCAGATGGTTCTGCTCAACAGTTGGAAAGAATGTGGTCAATTAGTCATGTCCTCGGTGCCTGTACATTTCCTTATTGTTTGATATGTGCTCACTGCTGTTCTTTATAGTTAATAAATCTGGGACTTTGTTCCAACCATAACACTGGTCTCATGTCTTCCTCGGCAGTGGAGCAGCTTGTACATATTTTCATAGGCCCATTTACTAATCAGTGTATTTTTCATACTCATCATCGAGTTTGTGCCTTTTCCAATTCAGTTCTCCCTAAAATAATGTGCGTTGTGGGTGCACTTTTCCATAATGCACTCATTTTTGTAACACCCTTCTGTATGTTTGAGCTGCCAGGCCAAGTTTTATTTATTTATTTTTATTTTATTTACAGTTTTGAAGTAAGATGCCCCCATCTATAGATTCTGGGCAGCGTCCCGCAGGGCAGCGTTTGTTTATTTCTGTATTTTACAATATTTACAATCTTTTGCAATGCAGTGTTTAAGGATGCACGATATTCACAGCGTGTTTACACTTCTAATGGATTCTGAGCTGCGTTCAATGAAGTCAAGGGCAAGATATCTACTCGCAGGAACAATTAATGCAGTATCATTAAAAGATGATGAGTAATGTCAATAGCATATGAAAAATAATGTAACCTAAGGGGCAAGCAGGTCATGGTCATCCATACCTTGGGGAGAGACAGAGGTGTCCTCGATCCAAAAATGTCAATATGGCCCCTGCAACGAGGTGATTGAAGTCCTATGTCTTTTTACGTGCATGGCAATGGGGCAGGGCTCCAATTGCATATTTGTGGCTGCCATCTTGACTTTTTGGACTTCCCTGCCCAAACCCCTGGGTGGGGGCCATTCATTAAATGGGGGCCAAGACCCTGAAGGCCTGTCAACTGGATCACAACCCCTTCTACATTAAAAAAAAGAAAGATGTAAAATTAATATGCCCCTTGTCCCCAAGACAATAATCGCAGGTTCAAAAATGGCTACTGTATGCTATGAGTCATGCATCTTTCTATCTATCTATCTATCTATCTATCTATCTATCTATCTATCTATCTATCTATTTTAATTTCTATGGCCACCCATCTCAACCGAGTGACTCTGGATGGTAAACAATCATAAAAAACAATTAAAACAAGTACAATACAACACTGTGTCTGTCTGTCTGTCTGTCTGTCTGTCTGTCTGTCTATCTATCTATCTATCTATCTATCTATCTATCTATCTATCTATCTATCTATCTGGCAGCCAGGAAAAAATTATCCTATACTTACCAGTGTACCCAAGAAACGGGGTCCTTAACACATTTGGGGCCCCAGGCCTGAAACAGTATCATTATTATGCTTTATTATTTTATATTTTCCTTTTGGGGTGTTTTTAACCCTTTCAACTCGTTTGCCACCCCGAGTCACTTGGCAAATGGGCAGCCCTATACATGGATTAAAAAACGAAGCAAGAAATAAATAGCATCCTTGGTGGAATACGGCTGTTTGGACAGCTTTACGAAAGGCCAGGAGGGAGGGGGCTTCTCTGAGCAACGTAGAGTTGGATTCAACAAATGCCTTCCAATTGAGGCTCAGATTTGGAAAGTGCTGTCGGATCCGTCTCCCTAAAAATTTGGGCCGATAGAATTTCCCTTAAGGCTGTAATCATAAGCCGAGAACAGACAAATGTCTCCCATTATGTTTGCTTCTAAGCATGTTTATAGTCTGGCTGCAAGATCCAAGTGAACATTAGTCACTTCCAGACCCTTGTCACTAAATTGCTCTCAATGTTTGGTCACGCTAACAGCGAAAAGCTTTCAAAAGGGCCTAATTGGTATGCATGCAAATTAGCCTGCATTCAGCTCCACGCTGATGGGGTCTGAGCTAGTGGTGACCAACTAGGGACTTGAACAGGGTGTGCAGCGAGCATTGGAAAAGACACATTTCACATTAGGAATGATAAAGAGAGAGCTGGGAAATAAAGCAGCTGTTATCCTCAAATATGCATCGATGGCGTAGGTGCGTTGGGGGGAGAATGATGGCCTTTATCTGCAAATCTGGAAAAGAGCAAGCCAAAAATGATATTTGCAGAGGGCTTAGGAAAGGGACTGGCAAAGTAGATGTGACATATGTTTATAGAATTAGACACATTGTAAGAAAATAGACATTTTCCCTCTCCTTCCACGGTTTCCGGCGTTGAGGCAGCAGACCGGAGTGAGCTGGGGACTTGGGGACCACGTAGGATTTAGGATCAGAGAGCAAGAAAGGACTGAAGGACGAATGAACAGGCTGGCTCACTGAAGTTAGGAACAAGGATGCAAAAAAGTCGAGCAAGAACTTGTTGATCAAATAAGGTTGGGATCTAAAACAGGAGGCAGATGTCCATTCCTTTCTTCCTAGGAGAAGCCAGTGACAAAGTCTATTTGGAATCGGGGGGTCCCCAAAGCCACCATTTGCCAGTGGGCACCTGTAGAAGTAGGATCACCCAGATCCTGCAGCTCCAGACCCCTAGCAGAAGGGATCAGCTGTAGCTTCACAACCAAGGGAAGGCCACACCACATTCACTTTGACCTGGTGTTGGTTGTTGCAGGGATGTGCTGATCTTTACTAGCTTTGTGGCCTTTGGAAGATGATCCGGTGGGAGGCATTGACCATCACATATCAGCTGGGTTATTTCCCTCTTAGAGTGGGCTGCAGGCAAACAGGAGATACCTGTCACTACCATCCACCCAGTGGGATTTGATTGACTATCATCGGAAGCAGAGTGCGGGGTGAGATCAACTATCCACCTGCTGGGTGTTAGGTGTGTTCATGTTCCCAGGAGACATTTTTATTTCATGGACTCATAGAGCGGAAAAGACCAATTAGATCAGGTCTAACCTCTTGAGCACAGAAACCCAAAATTTTCCCAACTATTGTCCTCTCTAAAGACATTGAACCAAGGGTGCTCCACCATCATTCTGGGTCGCTGCTTCCATTGTCAGAAAGCTTGTAGGGTTGGGAAGGAGGAGTCCCTCTGCTCCTGCTTCCGCCCAACATGTCACTGGAATCCCCCTTCTTGTAACTCCCTGCAGGAAATGTCATGTCATCCAACCCTCCCTTGAAAATTCTTGTCCTGCCTTGCCACAAAGCTTGCCAGCCGCATGTTATCAAGAATATATAGTGTTCCTCCCAGTGTTTATTTATGTTGATATGTTCTGATTTGCATTTTGTACATTTATCTTTTTATGGAGGCTGGGATGGATGTCGCTCAGAATCGTTTGCCATCAGAGCAGCCTGTAATGCCATAAATTAATCAATGAAGTGCATTGTGCATGTCTTCCTAAGTCATTAGAGAAGAAGCATGTTGCACATCGTTGATAATAGTTATGTGCCATTGAGTCAGGTTGGATTCCTGGTGCTTGCCTGGACTAACGTTCACCATTTCAACCTTTCTGTAGTAACACCTTACAGCTTTTCCAAAGATGTTCCACTAATTTCTGTGATCCTGTCCATCCACCCTATCCGTTGCTTCCCCCTTTTTCTACTTCCCTCAATCTGGCCAAGCATAGATGTCTTTTCTAGCGCACCGTCTGCTTGCAACACACGCCCAAAATATGTGAGTTTCTGCTCACTGATCATTGACTCACGGAAGCAATAACCTTCTATTTTGTTGAGGACTGATTGATCAGATTCTTCTTGCGGATCTTGTACCCATTTCTAGATCTACAATTCCTGGGGTGTCTGCAAGATATTGTAAAAAAAAGTCAAGATGATGACCATGATGGTGCATCACACATAAAAAATAGGTGGGGGTTCAATAGCACTGCTGGGCCCACCATCTTTACTTTTTTTACTAGACCTTGTGGACACCCCTGCGTAAAATATGAGAGCAAGAAGCCACCGTTAAAATATGAATTGACCTGACAAGATATAATTGGTATGCAAGATACAGACACACACACATACACACATATGTATATGTATATATAAACACATGGCCCTAACCTTGCCATCTTGCTGGAAAGTTTTAAAAACTTTGCTCTTTGCACAGGCCCTGTGGTACTAGCTGGCAGTTTAATATTTTAATATTTTTGTAATATTTCACACACACACACACACACGTGTGTGTGTGTGTATACATATACAGAGAGAGAGAGAGAGAGAGAGAGAGAGAGAGAGAGAGTTATTTTTTATAACCAGATCTTTGTTTCCTGTATTTCCTGATGGGGTGTTTTGGTTTTATTTGCTCCCTGAGGTCAATTCTTTTATGCTGTATTTTTAACTGTTTGTGTGTTACATCAATTAGGTGATGTAAGCATCTTTTTATATAAACAAATGTGTAAAGGGAAGCTAGGGGCTTCCTATCTCGATTGTATGATCATCAACCGTGATTTTCAATAAGGCTGTAAAATAGCTAGCAAAGGGCATTGTCTATAGCAACACTCTTGGGAAAAAATATATAACATC